AATTTAAAAATTAATTTTCTATGTTAACTATAAAATTGAAATTAAGAAAATATGTAAAAAATGTGATATATAACAAATTCTTGTTTTTATTGCGTTCAGTTAAATAATCACATACAAATTTTAATTTTTTTCACCTCATTTCTATGGGTATACATAATTAAATTTTTTTTTTTTTTGTTTTTGGTAACAAATAAAAAAATTTTTGATAAATAATAGTTTCCGCATCTGTCATAAATCAACAAATTAATTTAACGCATACCACTACGCGACGGGCAACGATTTAATAAATCGATTTTTTCAAGCTGCCAAAACTTACATTACTTTACTGCTACTTTAGCTATTGGACACGCTCATTTGGCGCCGCCGCCGCGCTAATAAATTCATGTTACTTAACCTTCTAGCACAATAAATTACTTAAACAATTCGAAAGCATTTACCTCTATAAGCTGATTATTCAGCTTCTTTCGTCTCTTCGCCTCCTCGTCTCACTTTGTTTTGCCCGAAGCGCCAAGTAACGCCCGTTTTACTTCGACTCTTTAGTGGCTGAAATGAGTAAAGTTGTTGTTGTTTTTATTGTTGTCATGAACAATAACTAAGCATAAAAGTGTCGTTCAATTATAACAATAAATAAATTTTACAATGCGAATGCAAAGGCAGRAAAACTGCGAACAAAAACGGTGTAAAATGCAGCATCATGTTTCCGCAAACAGCGAACAATTGCAAAGGCAGGCAATGGCAGTGAGCAAAWGAGCGCAAAAAGATGATAAAACAGCTGAACGCTGCAATGCCAAGTGGAGAAACTCTACTGCTTTTCACCAATGTYATGAGAATCTGAAATCTTCATCAGTGGCAACTCTGCTTAGCTTAAATCCCAACCTTACTATTTGCCATAATGTGCTTAATTATTTTCTAAATACTTTGTTGTCATGTTGTTTTTGTTGTTAGTTGAAAACCCATTGTTATTCGCTTGCGATTCTGAAACAAGCAATTTTCCTCCAACGACCTTGCCAACTCACATAACGTTACCCATAGATATTTTGTCATAAATAACTGCCGCACTTTAGTGTCTACACGTTCGCAGCATATTGGCGGCGTCTCATAGAAATTCGTGTAAATAAACATGTAAACAATAGCAAACCGCAATAATACTTGTCAAATGCCATTGAACAACAATGTAAAGTGGAGCAATCTCAGTATGTGTACTATATATGGTATAAAGAAGATTACTGCATTAAACTAGTTTGAAACGTACTAGTTTGYAACTAGTATTGCTGCAGAGAAATCGAAGCAATTGAAAGGTTAATAATTCACGAGAACGACCTGATTAGAAATATCGACCACTAAGCGAAATAATATTAGGTTAAGTTAGGTTGGGTTCATCTGGTTCATCATGCCTATGCGTGTCTGGCCAGTTTGGGTCCTTTGCGTTACCGGATGGAGTACAGTTACTAGGTTCATGAGGACCTTTACGATGCCACCGCTTTACTCGAATTTTAATAGACTCTATGGTCTAACTATCGATACCTAATCCAGCGTATCATATGGTGGGTACCCCAGATGCTTACAGCGTAGTCTTGCAATGCGGAACAAGTGCATAGGAGATGATMCATTGTTTCCATAGTGCCTTGCTCTAGTTATTTCCTGCAGTCTTCTCGATTTGTCAGCRTCATTCTGCTGGCGTGTGTCGTCACCAGGCAGTAACCTCTTAGTATTCCGATTCCTACAGTCTCCWCTATCGAGTGCCAATGGGAATTTTGTGTACTTCCGATCTATCGTTTTGCAAATGACTTTTTTGCAGTTTTGCAATCAGGTAGCTCGTTCCATTGGGTTTTGATTTTCTTTACAATATTACTGTCCAGATCGTTGTATAGGCAATGCAGGGGTTTCCTAATRTTGATCATGTTTTCGAGGTTACTGCCTTGATTGCTGCTTGCCTCTGGAGTGTGTTGCCTTAAAGACCAGCTACGCGGCTTTCCTATACAGTCGACCGATGTTTACTTCCAGCCTCATACACTTAAATCCACGATTCTTCACCTATTTGGATGTCATAGACGAGTTTTGAAACACTGCCATCTTTTTTCTTGATCTTGATCTTGATTTCTCTCGACCAATCTACAAGAACTTTTATTTGTACGATTGACGAACTGTGTGGGACTCAAAGTAAACAATTATTTTTCAAACAATTGTTCATGAAATATTGATTGTATGCTGGTCCCACTAGCGCCTATAGTTTTCTCAATCTCACGATAGGTACCAAGGCAATCTTCCAATATCATTTTGTGCACGGTATTAATAGCTTCCGAAGCAAGAACTGATTTTCAGCTACCTTCACGAAATTCAGCTTGGATTGTGATCTACGTTCTCGAAATTATAATGAAGTTCATCGATACTCTATTGCTGATTTAGACCACGTCGAAGGTTGCAAAAAATAAYCGCGCAAAAATTTTGCTATTTAATGTCAGTTTTTGGCCGATATGAATATTTKTARTTACTTTAAACAACGCAAATAGCGCTCRTAGGTCAAAATTTTCTGAGCATGTACGAGTATAATAACAAAAATTTCAGAATTTAAGATGCGTTGGCAGATATATAAATTAAGGTTGCCAAATCCTGTCTAGATATAAAAGGCAACCATTGTCTGAGATTCTGTTCTATTTTGAGATCCATAACTGAACTATTTTGAGATAGTACAATGCTCTCCATAAATGTAGGAACGGAAACCGCACGACCAAGCATGCCCAAAGGGACCTGTTTACGCTACTCGTTTTGAAAAAAGTTCGGCTTTATCGGGATTAATAGAGCAARCACGTGTTTCATACCCAAAATAGCCATCAAAATCATTCGGACTAGATGTCGAGCTCTCTTGCCATATACTATTTTGAGATAGTACATATAAGGATTTCATATTTAAAACTGCACATTAGTGACCTCAGAACCAACTTAATAGTGATTGTATAATGAAAGAGTTGTCTACGAGTAATCACTGAAGCAAATTTGAAACCCGGTTTTGAGAACAACTCATGTAAAGGCAAACTGATTTAGCTGATTGAATCAGCGGCTAGACCTTAAAGGATGTAACTCAAAAAGTGTTTGAGATATTCATTAAAAATTTTATTTTATTATTATTATTTGTTATGTCTTTTAYTTAATTAAAAGTTTTAGTTGCCCTTTACCACACAATTCTATTTGTCGGATAATGACACTCTGTGAGTAAACCAGTGATATGTACTTGCCTATCATTTTCAAAGCCACACTGTGCCTATTCTATACCTGTATATCGTACATGTATAAGTAATAATATATATTTTTTGTGGGTGGGTGAATATATTAGCATGTGCACTTGCATTAGCGGCACTTAGTCACCACATTGTCATTTCTAATTTATAAAAACCGCATGAGCTTTTGTCTACTTCAAACCTGTAAAGGCGAATGTATCCCTGCATATATTGATACTATACATACATATATACAAACTAACATTTATTTGTTGATAGAATTATAAAACGTCGTTTGTAATATTTCGATTTGCGTTGCACCTTTGTTAGCAACTCGTTGGAATGCAAATAAAAATATGTATTTTCTGCTCCCTGTCGGCATTACTGTAGCGAATATAKTGTTATAATAGTTACCGAAATTCGGTAAAAACCAATTTTTTTCTGATTCATTTAAATATTATTTGAAAAAATTCGAATATTATTTGAAAAACTTCGAATATAGCGTTAGAATAGATACCGAAATTCGGTACAAATTACAAGTTTTTGAAAGACTTCACTTTGCTGTTCCCTGCTAGTATTTCTATAGCGAAAAAGTTAAAAATTTTACCCAAAAAACAGTATACATTTTATTTTATTTAATAAAAATTAAAATTAAAATAAATTGTTCACCCGCTTCTACGCCGAAAATTTTAAACTCGATACCGAAATTGCTACAAAATATTTTTTCTCTCATTTAAACTAAAATTATTAAAAAAAAAACTAGTTTTTCTGCTTGCTGTCGAAAATGTGTTTAATAACGAAAATATTAAGCTTGATACCGATAACAGGTAGAAATTTTTTTTTTCATTTGAAAAAAAAAATGCGATTTTCTCTTACAGTCATTTATATACAGAAAATATTA